ACCAGGGCCGAGGCGGGCCGCGACTTGGCCGCGGGGGCCAGCGCGCTGCTCTTGGACGTCGCCATCAGCCTCGGGCGCGGCGGGCCCCTGCGGAGCGCCTCCTCCGCGAAACGCGTGAAGGGGCCTTTCAAGCGCAGGCCCGCCAGCTTCTCCGCGGTGAACCTCGCGAACTCGCCCGTCCGCGGCTCGCGGCGGCCCCAGGTCCCTTCGCCAGGCGCCGAGGTGTGGTGGAACCAGTGGACCTCCTTAGGTCCAGACTCGGTCTGGTACTCTTCCACCCCAACCTCCTGGCACCCACGGGTCGGCAGCGACACAGCCAGGCTGGCCTTCTCGGCAAGCTCCTGGAAGGCATAGCCCAGCTCGCTCCCGTCCGCGAAGTCGAGCCGCCCCTTGGGGAACGCCCAGGGGCCCGCCACGTCCCGGCTGCGCCGGATGGCCAGCAGCTTCGGGACTCCGCCGCGCAGCCTGGTCACCAGCACCTCCGCGGCCACGGTCGGCCGCGCGTCGAGAGCGCCCAGCTCTGCCGCGGCCCTCTCCTCTCGGGTGGAGCGGCCCCGCTTGGGCGGCACCCCCCCGCGCTGGGCGCGCCGCCCGAGGCCCGGCGTCAGCGCCCGCCGCCCCCAGCGCCACCACCAGAGGCCGGCCTCGCCGCGGGCCGGACAGGACCGCAGGCCACGCGGCCGGCGCGGGGCCGCCCGTCTGCAGCCGAAGACAAGCTTTGGACAGGCGAGAGAGAGAGGAGAAGACGAGTGAGGGGGCGTGGAAACAGGGAAGGACAGATGCATACACTCTTGGATCATTTGCAGGTGGTACTTCGTGCACAACACAACGCCGCAGCCGTTCATTTCAAGCCGTTCAAGAACATATAGAACTTAACAAATATCCCTTACAGGGATCGGCGCGAATGGTGCGCGCGTGGACGCGCCAAGCAGTCTCTGCACAAACATCTGGAAGAGCCTGCAATGGCGATTGTGCAGATGGATTGCTTCTTCGTGACAACTCGCGACGACGCCGCTGCAATCACGTGTGCGTCAATATTTGATGTTGCAAACGGTTACGGCGCCCGCAGACAAGTAGTTGCCAAGGGGTCAACAGACTCGCACGCCGTCGGATATGTAGTCAAACACCTCGAGCATGCTGGTCTTACTCAAGAAATCATATTGCACACGGACTTAGAAAGTTCCATCAAGGATTTGGCGCGAGCAGTGGCCGTAAAACGAGCGCGTGGGGAATCAGACAGCAACCCCAAAACGCATCTTCGTCATACACCAGTGGGATCGAAACAGTCAAACGGGACAGTGGAGAGATTTCATCAAACCAGTGAAGGTCTTCGCCGAACCCAGAGGTTGGCCCCCGAAGGGAGGTACAACATGGTACTGACAAACAAGAGCATGATCACGCCCCATGGCTGATTCGCCAGCGCGGCTGGCTCCACTCCCGCTTCCAAAAACACGCAGACGGAAAGACGTCTCTTGAAAGATGCAAGCGAAACGTGTACCATGGATTCGTTGTGGAATGTGGGGAATGTTTCAGCGCGCGTTACAACGGACCCATCACGAACAAGATGGCACCACACTGGGTTGCTGGAGGTCGGTTGGGCCAGGCGGTTGGCACCGACGAACAAATCATCGCAACGCCCAGAGGACTCATACAGTCCCGGAACATCCGGCGCATGGAAGAAACTGCGCGATTCAACACAATTCTGTTGTGGATGGCATAACACTGGACATTCTAACAATCCTATCATTGAATTAAAGATGTGTTTAAGATGCGTGAAACATGTTCTAAAACGTTTCCAACCTTTTTTATACCTTTAAGACATGTTCGAAACTGTTTTTAGACATCTGGAAATTATTTGGCAACACGCTTCCTCTCCATTGATCGTCCTCCACAACAATTCTGATTAAGCAGATCTACGGCGCACCCTGGGACTTGAACCGGAGGCACGGCGCCGAAGGTCAGGCAAGCACAGCGCCGCGGGACAAGCCGTATGCGCAAGCCGCCAGGCCAGAAGAGCATCCAAGAGAGAAGCAAATCGAAAGTTAGATTTGTTTTGGGACGAGCGTGATAAGACGGAGAACTGCCAAGCGCGCCAAGAAGGTGCTCACGGAAACACGCACTCTGCAGCGCGCAAACGGAGGAGACAGGAATGGGAGTTAAAACATGCAGAGAAACTCAAAGAGGACGAAGACAATCAGGAAGCACGGCCTCAACAGCAGCTTTCCCAATACGAACGAAAACACTGGAGAGTTGACCACGACGCAAATGGATATTCTGGAAGAGACGCGCCACCAGCACCACGAGACACACAGCCTGCACAAAAGCGGAAACCCGATATCAACAATGAGGAATTACAGGAGCTTGCTCTGTCGCCAGAAGTGCAACAACAAGCTCTGAAGCGAAAATCGGAAGCTGAACATCCAGACGCGCCTGGGTCGATGGCAATGTCCGTGTTTCGACCTATCTGCAACATTGACGAGAACCTATACGTGCGCGAAGAACCCAAACCGACAGCCGCGGACAATTCATGCACCTACGACGCACTTCTCAAAGAGTGCTTCTCGGACCTAGAATTCATGGACGGATTGAAAGAGGATGACATCGAGAAAGGGATGTCGAAAGAAATGGAGAATCTAGATTGGTTTAATGTCTACAGATGGTGGCCAGAACACAGATCAGAGAGCAAACCGATTGAAACATGTTGGGTCCATAAAAGACAAGGAGACGAAGTTCGGTCGAGATTGTGCGCAAAAAAGACTCAAAGTCGAAAGGCATTCGAGATTATGTTTTCGCTGCGACCCCAACGCCAATAGGATTGCGCATATTGCTAGCGATAGTCATGGGACATAATCTGGAGGTTGTGTCGGGGATTGTACTGTAGCCTTGATGCACGCAGACATAAGCGACGATAATGTTTTCTGCAGGCCCCCGGAGCCGTGGCGATCCAGGTATCCGGGATGGGTCTGGAGGATGAATAAAGCGATGAACGGGTGCTCCACAGAATTTCCAGGATTTCATAACAGGTGTCTTGACACAGCACTTGGGTCACACACGGCGCCGCACAGACCCGCAAGTGCTTTGGAACCATAACACAAGTGTGAGAGTTAGTATTCACGTAGACGATCCCATTGCAGTCGGCGCAGAGTCGCAGGTGCCAGGTTTCTTCTAGGAGCTGAAGAAGCATGCTCGAATTTAACGACGAGGCTCCTACGAAATACCTCGGGCGTACGTACCAAAAACGCGATGGAAAAAAAAGGTATTCCCAACAGACAAATACATAGACAAAATTTTGGAGATTTTTAACATGATGCATTGTACCCCTGTGAGTACAGCAGGGACAAAGGACACCCCTCCAGTGAAGGGTTCTGTCGGGGAAGAGTTTGGGACCCTAGACCAAAAACACGATCACATGTACGGGTGCGCTGTAGGCGAGCTGCAGTGTTTATGCCAGGAGCGCGGGAACTTACAGTTCTCGGTCGAAGATCTGGCAAGAAGACTCGAGTCCCCGACGAAGCAGTGCGAGAGGAAATTGGAACATCTGCTTCGCAATCTGAATAACACTCGACACGAGTCGCTTTAATTGCAACGCGAGAACACTGGATGCAACGTAGTTGTTTATGTTGACTCTGATTGGGCAAGGTGCGACGAGACACGAAAGAGCACGTCGGCAGGTGTCATTTTCTGGGGATCGGCTATTCTCGGTAATTACAACAGAACGCAAAGCGCGGTTGCACAATCGACCGGTGAAGCTGGGCTGTACGCCATTGCGTCCCGCGCAGCAGAGGGGCTGCACGCGCAGAGTCTCATCGAGGAGCTCGGTTTCGAAGTCAGTGTAGAAGTAAGGTCGGATGGCAATGCTGGCAGAGCCATCGCGTCGAGAATTGGGGTCGGCAAGCTGAAACATATCGACATCAAGTTTCTTCGCATCCAACGGCTGCATCAAGCGAAACGCATTAGCTTAGGGGAAGTTGCCTCCGCAGAGAATGCGTCGGACATTGGCACAAAATCTTTAGGTAGGTCGAGGCTGCAGAAGTTGACGCGAATGTTAGGGATCTGTTGATCAGCCTTCGGGCGCAATCCTTGCACACATCATCTGTAGTTCGCCCTGTGGCCACAGCACGGGCTCATGCAGCAATTTCGTGAGCTTCTGACGCACGATGCTGTCACCTCGCGTAGCATGGTGCTTCAAGCAATGCCCTGACTGCACAGAAAACTATGCAAAAGTACCGGCCGAGAGTGTAACCAGCAAAGGAAAAGTCGAGGGGACTCTTTCATATCGTCTGGTACAACATTTGAGCAGTGCACACGGTCCACACGGTCACGCTGCAAACAAGTCAACGAAGATTTATCATTCATGCCCGGTGCGTTACTGTGGAACTGGACCAAAGTATCCAGAGTACGATCACGCAAAGGCTTGGCGAGAGCGTTCACCAACGCCTCAAAGGCCTCCGACACTACCTCCGGCAACCAGCCGCGTGGCAGACAGCACAATCAAGCAAGGGTCAGCAACAGGCAAGGTTCGAGACCGCACTCGTTCCCGCTCCCGGCGCCGATCGCCGAGCACGGGCATTGAGGCGAGGCCAAGGTCGCCTATCGGTCGCCGGAGCAAACGCACAGCGGTGCGCGACATCTTGATTGACGTCGGTTACCTTCAGAACATCTCAACTACCGTGCGTGTGTTGAAAGCTGCAGCGTCGAGGATTAACGGATTGTCCCGAGAGTGAGCTATAGCCTCATGTAACGACACGGTGGGAGACATCGTTCATCGGACTGGTTTTGCTATCAGCTCTGCCTCCAAAAGTATCTGATGAGAGTCAGATCTGAGGGGGGCTGTAAGAAATCCCTTGCGCGCACCGCAGCAGGCTTGAGCCTCGAGCCCCAGATAAATCACTCCATATCGAAATCACCCGCTTATCTTTTCACGAGAAGGAGGAGGAGGAGGAGGAGGAGGAGGAAGAGGAGGAGCAGGAGGAGGAGGAAGCTGGGCCCCCAGAAGGCGCCTCGCGGCCCTGGGAGCCGTCGCCGGTGATGGACAGCGATGGGCAGCCCGTGGCGAGGCGGAGGTCCTCGCAGGCCGGAGGGCGCCCCACCCGATTTCCATCCTTGGGCGCCCCGTCCCCCCGCCACTGCGCCACCCGCCCACGGAGACCTCCGGGGGCTCCCACAGCAAGCCCCCCACGCAAGCCCCACCTCCGGGAACCCCTGGCAGCCAGGCATGGCCTGCCGGTCGGCATGCTTTGGGAGGGGGGACTCGAAGGGCCCGCAGTCTCCGCCGCAGGACCGCATCTGGGGAGGCCCCACGAAGCCCTCTGGACGCCCTGGAAGCTCCTGAAGGTTCCCTGCAACTTCCTCGGGAGCCCGTGTAGAGGTCCGCGACTCACCATGCTGACCATCCGACTTCGGGACCACCCTGGAAGGCCCTGCAGACAGAGGACCCTGCGGGTCCCTGAGTACGCCCAGAGGTCTCTGGATACGATGGGGGCCGCTGGAGGCTCATGGGTGCCCTGCGAGGGCCCCGACAGCAGAGGGGCTGCTCGTCGCCGTCCCTGGAAAGGCTCCAGCGAAATCTCCGGCGTGACCCCAGATGTCCGGGAAGCTCTTGTGCAGGCTCATGGGGCCGCGCCGACGCTGCCTGGACCGAGCGGCCCCCGCCGAAGGCCTCCTTGCGGGCACTGAGGCGGCCGGTGAGCGGCCCGAACGCGCAGGGCTTTCGCGCCCCCTGCGCCTCGGACGCCCGCCGCCCGGGCCAGGAGGCCCCCGCCACAGCCCAGCCCACGCGGGTCCTCCAGGCGGCCAGCGAGGAGGCCGAGCGCGTCGGCGCCCAGCACGCCCGTGGACCCCTGCTGCAGCCGCTCCTGCAGGGAAGGGGAGCGGGCAGCAGCAGCAGGGGCAGGCAGCAGGAGCGCCCGCACGTGCGGGTTCGGAGGGATCCGGGCGAGGCGGAAAGTCGGCACACCTGGGTCGACCCCCTTCCGAAAGTGATCGCGCGTGGCTGCTGAGTAGTGCTCGACTCACTGTTTCGAGCGCTTGGTTGAGAGCGCCATCGTGCGGGTGCCCGCCCTCTCGTTCGCATGATCGCGGGGGCCATGCCCGTACGTCCCGCCCGTCGTGTCCAGATCTACCTCCTCTACCCGCTGCTTATACCTCAGCCGCTATCTCAGCATTGACCCAAAGAATGCTGGGCACACTTAAGTGCAAGAGAAATCCGCCCATCCTGTAGGCGTATGTGGAGGGGGGGCAGTTCTGGGTCGGTCGTCCTGGGGTGTTCCTGTGAAACGCTCTTTAAGTCTAACTCTGTCACCCCTTCCTGGCAAGCTCGCCAACCCGAAGCGAATCGCGACAGGTGGTCATCGAGTCGAAAAGCTCCTTCCCTTTGATCCGTTCCCCGCCAGTGTGGGCCGCAGCCCGCGTCGGCGCCCCCCTCCATGCGCACTTCCACGCGGCATGGGCCAGCACCGAAGCGCGCGGATGCGCCCTCTCCAAGCGCCAAGTGGTTCCTCACACAGGAAGTTACAAAAAATCAACGCGGCTGGCACAGAATGACATCTCCAGCTGAATACGGCAACTGCTCCATTCTGGCGACAAACGTTCGCCGAACAGAATGACTTACCCGCCGCGCAAGGGGCGTCCTGCCTCATTTTGTCGCGGTCCTGGTCGAACTAGCCACCTGCGCACGCCATGACACAGTGGGCTCGTCCGACCAGGACCACGACCTCAAAGGTAGGCGGCCAGCGGCGCCTGCTGGCGCTGCTGCTGCACCTGCTGGGACGGCGGCGCCAGCCGCCCAGCCGACCCGATTGCGCGACGCCACGCAATCGTGCCCGATAGGGTGCGGGTGCGTTGCGCTATGTGTGGGCGCGCTGCAAGGAGCGGTGGCAAGCCTTCGGTAATATTTGAAGGGGAGCACTGCAGCTGCGCTCCCACTAATATCGTATAGACTCAGGGTTCAGAGAGAGACGTGCGCCCAAGCACGCTAATAGACCGAAGGCTGCTGGAAACTAGGGCTTCGGGGTGTGGAGGCCGCCTCAGGGCGAGGGCCAGAGGGAGCCTGGCCAGCCAGAACGTGAATTGGCGCACCTGCCGCCGCCTGGCTCACTCTGCGCGCGTCGCGCACTGGGAGCACGTGACACACTTAGCGCATCTGGAACGCCAGGCGCGCCTGGAACGCTTGGGCCCCTGAGGCCACCTGGCGCACTGGGTACGCATGGCAAACCTCGCGAACGTCGCGCACATGGCGTCTGGACTGGTTCATGATAATTGTCCATCCGATTGAAGCCTGTGCCTATGCTCAGTCGATGGGGCTACTTATACATGGGAGGGTAGGCGGGAGTGAGCGAGACAACTAGTACCGTACCAAGACCCTAATCCAAACGCTGACCCCAACCTAACCCTCCAAGCCTGACCCTGACACTGACCCGGACCCGACCTATGACCTAACCCTTTATCCTAAACCTGACCCTGAAAACCCACAACTGCCCCGAATCATGTTCATCATCCAAGTCGTGACCTAACCACATCCAAACCCAGACCCAAATTCGAATCCGAACGATGGCCCTGAACTACCCCTGACCCTGACCCTAACACTGACCGTGACCCTAACCCTGCCGCTGCCACTGACATGGACCCTAACAACTACCCAAATCTAGCCCTAACGTAACCCGAAACCGTATCCCAAACCCACACATATCTCCTGCAGAAAACGAACCCTCTTCGAACCTACCCCCACTCCGGGTAATACACCGAATCCTAAACATAACCACAAGCCGCGCCGAACCCCAACACATAACAAACCCAAGTAATAACACCAGCCTTTACCCTGAACCCGAACTTAACCCTGGCCGAATCATCGCCATCACCTACCGGACGCCACGCCCGAAGACGACCACCTTTGCCAGGAAAATTGCCACCCTCGCGGGATGCCCCAACACACCACCGTACATCCCCGGCCGCCGAATTCGTACAAGCTGAACTCGCACGCAGTCGGACTCGATCGGATCTGACTCGCACGCAGTCGAAATCGCACGCTGACGAACTGGTACGCTCTGGACGCGCAAGCACCCCACTCACACGCACATGACTCGCATGCACCAGACTCGCCCGCACTGAACTCGCTCGCCTAGTTCACCCGGACACGGAAAACAAGCGCTCAGTCTGCAAGTTCGGAGCGGGCAAATTCGGCTAGTGTGAGTTCAGTGCTTACGATGCGAGCTTTATGCGCACATGTTCAGCGCGATCAAGTTCGGAGCGCGCGCGTTCGAGACTTCCCGAAGCGGGAGAAAGAGAGAGGACGGGGGAGAGCTTGAGGCCCGCGGAGTTGTCCCGACGGCTTGCCCCCGCGCCCCAGCGGCCCACGGGGTTGCACCAACGGCCTGGGCCGCAGGCCCGGTTGCCCCAACGGCTTCGCGATCCGGCCATCGGAGAACGCGCGCATGATGGCAGTGGCGGCGAGCGCGCCGAGGAGAATCGACATAAGGAGAGGTGCGTGAGGAGAACAGGCGGGATGAAGAGGGAGAAGGAGGAGGAGGGGGAAAATGACGAGGAGGAGGATGCATGGCCGATGCTTCTATCTTCCACAAGGGCTTGATAACCATCTGTTTTTCACGAGCGCGCCCCCGAAAGGGAAAGCTAAACCGAGAGAAGCGCCATCAGGAAACAGCTGCTCCGAAAAGCTTATCGCCCAGTGCCTCGGACAGCTTTACAGAAGGGGATATGGGAGGGAGCGTAAAAGCTTGAGCCTCGCACGGCGGCAGGGTGACGTCAAGGCAAAGAATATACACGCAACACCGTCCAATAGGACTCGAATGCATGGCCGATGCATTTACTTTCCGCCAGGGCCTGATAACCATCTTTGTTTCACGAACGCGTCCCCGAGAAGGGCAATGAAACCGAGATAAACGCCATCAGGAAACAGCTGCCAACAAGCTTCCGAAACCGTAAACTGGCCCAAGACATGCGCGAACACCGTTCTGGACTCTTCTTAAATGAAGCCGAAAACTTGTGACAACCGTTGATAAGATATCATCCCGAAAACAACCCACCAGCCCACGACAGAGCCCATATGGATAAATCTCCGCCTGCTTTGAAACTACCTTCGGACCTTTGATCTCGAGCGCCCCATGCGGGAGCTTCGAAAAGCCGCAAACACCTTTCCCTGAACATCGACACCCCAGCGACTCCAAGCTGATGCGACATCCTTAGAGACTCCTCGATTTCCCCCACCGCGCGCCGAAAGCGCACACGTCAAAAACGACCTCCGTCACATCAGGGAGTTCCGAACCATCTGAGGCTGCCTCCAAATATGCGCACTCGCTGGGTTCTCGACGACCACGGGACTGCCGCGCAGGCGGCATTCACGAAAAATAGCCAGGGTAGCAGCGCACAGGACGTTTTCAAGATCGACTTGCCGCTGACATGTAGCATCAAGTCCTGGAAGGCCATCGAGGCGTTCAAAGGTCCGAAGCGTCGGGGGGCCGTTCGGGCGATTCCTCGCAAGGGAAAACGAATTGCACGGAGTCCCCAAAAAGACGGCCGCCACGATTCCAAACCGAATCCACCCCTGGATAAGTTTGACCAGGGAAGCACCAGGAATGTCACGGACGGGCCCGCGCCGAACATCGATCTCGAAAACAAGATGCCTGCCTGGCACCGACCGTCTCCAGGCTTGGGCGAAGCGCCCAGGTCCAAAGAAAATCGCGAGCATGGCGGGGCACCCGTGCGACTTCACAAGCTGCAGGAGGCACTCACGAGGACGTCACCCATGTTCGAGGCGGCCTGCTCTGCTGCGGCCAGCGCGCCGAGGTCCACGAGGCCGAGCTGCTCGTTGATTCGCCCGCCACGCTCGTTGCGAGCCAAATTGCGGTCGCTCGCCCAGCGACCCCTCTTCTCGGCGCCCAGAAGGGACCGAGCCTCGAACAACAGATCGCGCAAGACGCCTCCGCGGCGAAGGCGGCGGGGGCTGAACTCGCCGAGCGCCGACAGGTTGCAGGCGGTGGCCGCGGGCTTCAGGGTCCGACCCCACTGCGCCTGGCCGAAGTTGAACACCACGGCGTCGCCGGGGGTCTTGATCTCGAGAATCTCAAGCACCTTCGGGAGCCACGGGAACAGCGGGTTGTCCGCGAGAAAGCTCTCGTCCACCTCGCCAGTCTCGGAAGTGCCCGCGCCTTCCCGCGGGCGGGGGAGAATCGACCACGGCGCCGCCGCCACCGACGGCTGGCCGCCGCGAGAGACGGCAGGGGCAGCGATGAGCGCACCCTTCGGGCGGAGGCACTCGCTCGGGCGCAGGTAGGACGTGGGGGTGGCGATGCTAGCCTCCAAGACTTGACCAGCGCCGATCATGCGCTGCACGCACAGGCGCAGGCCTACCCACGGGCACGGCAGGCGGCTCTGGGCTGGCACTATGTGCTTCCATCCTGTTAACGCTCGCGCGCTGCGAGGGGGCCCGAGCGAGGCCCCCAGCGGGAACGCCCAGTAGCATCGGAGCCCCGCCATCAGCTTCGCCGGCGCATATGCGAGCTCGACCGCAGAAGACTTCTCGCGCAGGCAGGTCACGAGGGCGAGGTCGATCACTGGCGCCGACGCCGGGAACGCGCCGAAGTCCTCGACCAGGCCCCGCTCATTGCACCACTGGTGGAAGGCGCTCACGTACGTGAAGTAGTCCCGGGCGGCCTTTGGGGCGATGCTCTGCAGCTCGAGGAAGGACGCTTGCTCTGGAGCCAGCGGGGCACCCACCGCTGCGCGGAATGCCCGACTCCTCTCGGTCGCCCTCTGCTCCTGGGCGCCGGGGCCGCGGGGCGCCCGCTCTCGGCGCGGCCCCGACCTGGGCGGCGCAGTCAGATCTGGCGCCTCCGTCGCGGTC